CTTTTCATTATCTTGATCCTAGGAAAAGTAATCGTTGAGCACGTAACGCAAACTCGAGACTCCTCCTGCTCCCCCAGCCACCCACCCACCCCCTCCTACTCCTTCCTTCCTTCCTTCCTTCCTTCCTTCCTTCTTACTTACTACTCGCGATAATTAGAAAATTTATCACACACTCCAACCGGCATACTATCGAACGAGTAAGATCAAACGTTTTCTCGTAATTTTCCTGTCGTAAAGAGTAAAACTTAAAGATAAATATCATAGAGAAATGTATTTATATTTGTTTATATATATATATTTTTATTCTCTACCTTGTATCTATATCTTTATCAAATAAAATTTATATATATCTATTCGAAGAAAAATACTTGAGATAGAGATATATTTGAAATCTAGTTTCTGATAGATGAGATTAATTGAAAAAAAAAAAAAAAAAAAAAAAAAAAAAAAAAAAAAAAAAAAACAGAAAAAAAATTGAGAATCACTGAAAGACATGCCTAACCTTCATCACCTATCGGCAATATTCGATCACCCAACTCTACACCCAGATGTACCAACGTGCACATATGGGCACGTCTGTCTGTCTATCTGTCTGTCTATCTGCTGTGTATATATATATATATGTTGTACATGTATATATGTATATATATACCCCTTCGCAGAAAGCAACACACAGAGAGAGAGAGACCCTCCCCAACTTGTCGATAATGTTCTCTTCATTCGGTTTCATATTCGTAGAGTATCGGTAAATCGAAACGTGTTACAGTTACCGAGAGGGGTAGGGAGTACCAATTAATTACTCAAGAACGGCGAAAAACTATCGGGTAACCAATTATATATGTGAAGGTAAAATATGTTGTTGTTGGTTGAGTAACACAATACAACACAACCACCACCAATATAAGAAGGAGTGAGATATGCAATCGAGCGTAGCAAAATGCAAACCGGCCTTTAGGCATAGTAGTATATATATATATATATATATATATATATATCTTTTCTTTCTTCAACCCAACCCCCTTCCCGCCCCCGTACCCGCCACAGCCCCTGTAGTATTTCTCGATGTTGTTCGCGCCCGCGCCATTTTGAAAACTTTTCAAATACCTTCCGGGCAACCAACAGCAGCAGCAGCCAGCAGTAGCAAGCTTTTATTTTTCTCTAACGCGAATATCTCGAAAGAAAAAGAGAGAGAAAACAAAATATCTAGGAGAAAATCAGAAATTTTTCTTGCAAAAAGAGAGAGAGAGAGAGAGAGAAGAAAAAAGAAGAACCCCTGGTATTAAACAACACTAAAAGAAAAAAGAAATAGGGAAGAAATACATACTTCTTCTTCTTCATCTTGCAAGAAGAAAAAGGTATTGCGAGAATTTCGTTGCATAAGAGTGGAATCTATTGGAACGTCCTCCTTTTACAAAACTATTACCATTATTGGCTTTCGAAGTAATTCATCGACGTGCCAACTAGGATAATCGTTTAAATGCTTGGAGTACCAATCATCTTTTGTTAAGATCGATTTCTCTATCTCACGTACACGCTATCTGTTGTGTCTTTTTGATTGTGTATGAGTGAGTAATCATTTCAGAGGAATTGTTTCTCTATTACTCTCTCTCTCTCTCTCTCTCTCTCTCTATCTCTCTTCCTATATAGTATACGAAGTTTCACGTGAGTTGCATCCTGAGTTAGCTGCTTTATTGTCTACTACTATTACGATTAGTCAGCTATGGTATATATACTGTAATATATATATATATAATATGCTATGTAAGAATTTTCTTATATGTATTTAATTTTTTTCTTTTTTTTAATCCATCTTAAATGTTATTTATACTTAGTTATGGTATATATACTGTAATATATCTTGTTATATATATATATATATAATATGCTATGTAAGAATTTTCTTATATGTATTTAATTTTTTTCTTTTTTCTAATCCATCTTAAATGTTATTTATACTTAGTTATGGTGTATATACATATAATATGCTATGTAAGAATTTACTTATATGTATTTAATTTTTTTCCTCTTTTTAATCCATATTAAATGTTATTTATATTCAACGTTATATTATTATTATTATCATTATCATTCTTTTTTTTTTTTGTCAATATATGCTAAAATACGTTTTATTTAAAACCATCTTCATCATTTTCTACGGTTTTCAACGTTTCTAATCGTTCTAACAATCGGCTTGTGGACTCTTTAATCTCCCCCTACCATGACAGCCATTGTATTGAGAAAAATACGTCCGGCCTTTAAAGGGTGGAGAAAAGAGAAGAGCCTCAAGACAAGGAATTATGTTCTCCCACAATCTCTAGCATCGTACACCATAAAACTGTCCCCGAAAGAGCTGCCTGCCTCTTCTTCGTTCCTTTTCTTCTTCTTCTTCTTCTTCTTCTTCTTCCTCCTCCTCCTCCTCCTCCTCCTCCTCCTCCTCCTATTTTTTTTTTTCTATCACTGTGTTGTAGTGACCAATTCACGAGAGTCGTTGAATTGTCTTGTATCTTTTTAACGATCGCGTAGGAGGAAAATAGGATAGAGAAGAAAAAAGGGGCGATATAAACTTTATTTGATATACTACAAAATGAAATAGCAATATGGAAAACGAAATGAATGTTTTGAAGGTTACGTAAGAATGAGAACGATTAGAATAGGATAGATATTAAAAATATAATTATATGAATTTATGAGATAGTTAAATTCACCCTATTATACACGTGTAAGTAAGGTAATCATACGTGCCAATAAAGTATTGATTTTATTTTGCTATAGATTTTGATTAATGTTTAAATGTTAATTAATACATTTTAGAAAATTGTATATAAATAAATAAGAAAGGTACAATCGAATTCATAACATAATTTTCAAACATCGAAATTAATACTGGAATACGAGGAGTCTCGTAAACTTATTATTTGAATACTTCCAAAAACAAATTAATTCATTTTAAACATTACCTATATAAGAATCTTTCACCCTGTATATAATTAAACTCAAAATGATGCATATAAATAGCATACAACAATTATTAATATACCATGTATTGTATATTAAATATAAACAAAAAAGGAATAATCATAAAATTAATGTTTGAAAAGTTATACAAGTATTGCGATTAAGGTATTTAAATAATGAAGATATATATTAAAAGTAGAATTCTAATTAGGAGATAGGGGATATTAAAATACGTGCATTTTGTAGATAAAGATATATATATATATATATATATATATATATATACGTATTTAAAGTAAAAGAGAGTGAGAAGGGGGGAAGGGGGAGCAACAAAACCAGGAGAGAAAATTCAGGCATTCGAATGTTCTAGTCAAAGAGAGAAAGGCCAAATGGAAGGAAGGGTGGCGTCGTTGCTACAGGGTCGTCGGCCCTTTGTTTGTTGTCTCATCCCCATTCGTAGTCTACTCCTCAACAAAGGCAGCCTTCTACATACGCCCCTGACACTTCATCCGCCTACACGTGCGTCCTGCGTTCGAATAGGTCACGAAACACACGGATACGAAATTCGATAGTAAAAGATTATAGTACGTCGTTGGTATATATATATGTATGTGTGTATATATATATATATATGTGCGTTGCTTCTCTTCTAACGGGTGTCCAGCATGCTCGTTAAAATTCTCCCCTATGGGGGGACATTTGTCGAGACATAGGAAGACCCTATCAAATTTATCCCCCCCTCCCTCACTTCCCACTCCCCTAACCATTCATTCATTCAATTATAAGTATAGGGTGAGTCAAGGAATTATTTCCAGGTGAAAGAATTTTTTATTCGCTGATTTATCAATGTTAAGATTATGATCGTTGAATCGACCCAACCAACCCTATACGAATCCCCACACACACACATGAATATTGTATATTTAATGTAATATATTATATCATCGGTGGTTCCTGTTTTTTCTTGATTTTTGTTTTTCATACTATATTTCTTCCTTTTTGTTTTCATTTTTTGGTGGTCCATTTTTTTGCAGGAGTAAACGGCGGAGGATTGTATTTCACCATCGAGCCGCAGGATGTTGTAGTCGAGCAAGGAGGATCCACCAGATTGGATTGCGAAGCAAAAAGCACTTTCGGTCAGCCTACGATACAGTGGCGAACGGACGATGGCACGCCGATTAATTTTATCGGGGAAAACTATCGGTAAACTATTAACTCAATTCGATAGACCATGATGGAGGAGGGGTGGTTACTCATCCATCTTCTAACTCATCCTTTATCTTCATTCTTTACTTTGTTTCTTAGTTTCTTTCTTTCTTTCTTTCTTTCTTCATCCCCCTCATTCTCAAGCAACACCCCCGCGACTGATTTCCAAATCTGTCTTTTTCATCCACTTATTTCTCTTATATTTGTTTATTTGTATAGATCGCAGCTAGCAAATGGATCCTTGTACATAAATAGCGTATACGCCGGTAGTTCAGAATTAACTGGAAGCTATCAATGCTTAGCATCCGTAGATGATGTTGGAGCTATTGTTTCTCGAGCTGCAACGATCAAGCTTGCAAGTTAGTATAAATAATAGATATATTTAAAATAAGATATTCATTATAATATGATTATGTACAATATAAAATTTTGAAGACAAATAAAATGATTTATTTATCGAGATTAAATGTTATAATAATATAATTAAAAGTTTATTAATTTTGTCAAGGTTTGCCTGGTTTTGAAAAAGAACCCCAAGATACTATGGTATATCCAGGACAAATAGCCTATTTGAGTTGCACATTACCGGCCTCATCTAGCTTATTAAAAATACAATGGCTTAAGGACGAACGGCCTATAGTACTCGACGATAATCGTATGACTATTATGCCGTCAGGTATACACAATTTAATATTTCATACGGAGGGAAGATAAAACAAGAAAACCAAGGAAAGTAAGATCATGAAAATGATGGTCTCGTTTTACAGGTGCTTTGGAGATAAATGACGTTCAGATTCAAGATGTTGGATCGTATAGATGTAATGCAAGCGGTTACGGACAGTACCGGCTCAGTAATAAAGCACAATTAGGACTGTTAACTAGCGATATCGGTTAGTTTTAATAATTCTATAATGTTTTATAGATTTTTTAAAATTTTGTTTGTTTGCCGAACGTGTAGTTTTTTCTTTTTTTTCGAAAATTTTTAGTCAGTTTTTATTTAACCCACAGATCAAGGATCGTCTACACCGATTTTTATTGCACAACCTACGCAACAAGTAGCCGTAGAAGGTTCTACCATAACTTTGGAATGCGCTGCTAATGGTTATCCTAAACCTACAATTTTTTGGCTCAAAGATGGTGTGTCTATAGACTTAGGATCGTTTGACTCTAGGTACACACACACATATATAACGTTTTTTCTTTTTTAAAAAAGTATATTTGAAATAAATTCTTCTCTTCTTTCCTATTTTAACGTTTAAATTGATTTTTTGTTTGTCTTCATTTTATTTTGTAGGTATCGTAAAATAGCCGCTTCGACTCTAATGATCACCGATCTTAGAGAAACGGATCATGGCTTGTATCAATGTCGAGCCGAAAACGAAGTTGAAACGTTAGATTCTGTTGCCGAGGTCATGGTGCAAGGTATTTTTTAATATATCTTAATTTTTTCTTTTTTCCCCTCCTTATATTTTTATTCAACGAGTATCATTAATTCTTAAACTATATTACTAATACAATTTAGTTCCGCCAAAGTTTATTAAAAAACCGGAAGACAAGGTTGCCAGTGAAAGTCAAGATTTAGAATTTGAATGTGAAATTTATGGAAAACCAGAACCAAAAGTTACCTGGTTGAAAAACGGTGAACGCATTACCGTTAATGAATATTGGCAGATAATTAATGGGTATGGATTAAAGATTATATACAGGGTGGGTCAAAAGTTCATTATAATAATCATCGATATTTTTTTACGAGATTTTTTAAAGACAAATTCTTGTATAGATTGTATAATTGTAAACTGATGAACTAGATAATAATTGATTTTGAAAATCACATGGAAATTTTTGGCCCATTCATTAAGTATGAGTTACAAAAGCATAAATTTATTCGTAAAAATTTGTACATACATAACGTAATATTAATTTATTACTGATATGTGATTTACAGTAACAATCTTAGAATCAATGGCCTTCTTGCTATAGACGCTGGAATATTCCAGTGTATAGGAATAAATCCTGCTGGTAGTGTCCAAGCATCGGCACGACTTACCATTAATCAACCTAGTGAGTTCTCATACCTTTTTATCACATATACAAGTTAAATAATATTTTTCCCTATTTCTATACTCGTATTATTTATTTATAAATATATATATATTTTTTTTTCTTATAAAAATTTTATATTCGATAAAAATTAGTTTATAATTTGTTCATTATAAATTATTTCATATATAAATACGTATACATATACGCGGTAACATATATACATACACACATGCACAAAAACACAAATATGATTTATTTAATTTTTTCAAATTAAAATTATTTCTCTTTTTATTTATGAATTTAATTTTATCTTATTATTTTTCTTCTTTTTCTTTTTTCTTTTCTTTTTTTTTTTCTTTTTTTTTTTCTCACTCTCTCTCTCTTTCACCCAAAACACACAACGTTTTCCTTTTTAACTGTGCTGCATGCTAACCGTATGTACGAAAGAAAAAACAACTCCTCAAAAAGCAACGACTCCAAAGTCCATTCCCAAAAAAAAATTACTCTATCGTCCTTTGTATAATAAAACATGGCAGCATCCCAGTACGCTATTAGGTCATACATTATCAGCATTTACACCAAATCCTCCATTATCTATCAGTCCTTCCGATGATCCAGCCGATTTTCCAGGATTAGTCAAATATCCTAGTTTCCTTTACGATCCAGATACCCATTTTGTAGATGATACAGAAAGCATGGAATCGATCGAAGGCAGCGTACCATCAGCTCCTAGAAATTTGAGCTTCATAATCGTTACTGCAAGATTCGTTACGTTACGTTGGCAAGAACCCGAAAATACCAACGGCGATATACTAAGTTATTATATTTATTACAAACAGGAAGGTGTACAAAGGTAATTATTTTTCTTCAATTCGTATAATTATATAACAGAGATTTTTCTTGAATAATTATTTATTATATTTCAATTGGGGAATCAAATGTGGTGATTAACATGACGATATTATTATTAAATATCTATAGAGAACGTAGTATCAACACTCAACAAAAATTAGAGGCAATGATATCAGGCTTACAACCTAGTATGACTTATCAGTTTCGAATAGTTGCCCAAAATTCGAGAGGAGTTGGTGCCTCGAGTGAAGTATTACGAGTAACCACTCAGTCTGAGGTAATCTATTTTTTCTTTTTTTCTATGGTAATTTTAATTTCTTATAATGGTATATATATTTATTAAAACATAATTTAATACGTTCCGGTGTAAGGATTGTTCGTTAGTGTGTGGTTTACAAATGAATAACGAAAATTTCTGAGTGGGATATATTCGACCCACGCCGAAACGTGTTAACATTTCTCCATATGTATATTTCTATTGAATTTAATTTAACAGGCAAATGTCCCAGGACCACCGATAAATTTAGAAGGCCACGCTAATAGCGCTACAATCATTGTTTTATCGTGGGACGAACCGCAAGTTATTAATGGACGTATTTCTAAATATATTATCACATATACAGAGGTAATATAAATATCATTAATATTGTTTTATTTTTTTCTATCTAATAGAAATTATATATTGTAATATATATGTAAAATTTGTTTTTCTGTCGTTTCATTTTGAAGGGAGATGTCGAGGAAAAAACACGTGAAACTACAAGTACAACGTACGAATTGGTAGATCTCGTGCCTTATACAGAATACAGTATTAGAATTCAAGCTGTCAATGAAAATGGTCCTGGTGCATACACTAGAGAAATTCTAGTACGAACACACAGTGCTCAACCTTCACAACCACCTCATAATGTTACATTAGAGGCAGCTAGTTCAACTGTATGCATTTTATACTAATTATCTTATAATGATGACAAAGTAATGTATAATTACATACATATATGTGTGTGTGTATACTCTAGAGTATTATCGTAAGATGGGAACCACCGTTGGATGGTCAAAATGGGATTATCACCGGTTATAAAATTCGTTATCGCCGACATGATCGCCGTTTTTCACCAAATTCAGTTACAACCGAAGGAAATCAACGTTTGTATGTGATTACTGGCCTCGAAAAACATGTCATATATCAAGTTCGAATATGTGCCTTAAATGTTAATGGAACTGGACCTTGGACCGAATGGATGACTATAGAAACATATGAGAATGATTTAGACGAGACTAATGTACCGGGTGCTCCTAGTAACATAAGAAGTAATCACTTCATTTTATTATTCACATTTTTTTTTCTACAGACACATATTAAAAAAAAAGAACAAGAGGAAGAAGAAGAAGAAGACACACACATATATCAATTTTAATACTTTATTATTTATATTTTTCATATAGCAAAACCTATGGCTGATTCTATATCGATTTGGTGGAACCCACCGAAAGATCAGAGTATTAAAGTTAGAGGATATAGAATTGGTTGGGGTAAAGGATATCCCGATGTTGAGGATCAAATTCTTGATGGAAAACAACGATTTTTTACTATCGAAACTTTAGGTATATATATATATATTTTTTTTTTATCCTTTTCATCCAAATGTTACACGCATAATCGAGAAATTTTGTAAAATAATGTTTATCATAAACAAAACGCATTGTATGAACAAATTATTTTTTCATAGAACCATCCCCTGCTCGTTTATACAACTAGTTATCGAACGTCCTTATATTTATAAAACAAAAGAAGTTCAAATATAAGTTTTTTTTTACTAATATTCATTAACCATTTTGAAATATTAGAACCAACAACGGAATACGTTATTTCTATAAGAGCAACAAATGAAGCTGGTGAAGGGCAGCCAGCATATGCAAACGTAAGAACTACAGAACGTTCTGTATCCGAATATGTTGTGCCTTTAATACCACCGGTTGGTCTTAAAGCAATCGTTTTATCAGCTGCTACTGTTGTACTCTATTGGACTGATACAACTTTACCAAAAAGTCAAGTATGTTTAATTATATTAATATATAATATACAATATTATTTTGCGATAAATTAATTATAACTCACTCATTAAAATTTCTTATCATTTGCAGTATGTAACAGATAATCGTTTTTACGTCGTACGTTACACGTCTTATCACCATAGCAGCAATCCCCGTTACAAGTATTTTAACGCAACCGATTTAAATTGTATGATAAATGATTTAAAGCCTAATACACAATACGAATTCACTGTTAAAGTTATCAAGGTATATAAATTGATCTTAGATAACTTACCAGAGTTAAAAAAAAGAAGAAAAGAAACAAATTTGTATATGTAATTGTCATATTATTTAATCGTCTCTTTATAGGGAAAAAGAGAATCACCATGGAGTATGGTAGTATTAAATCAAACTCAAGAAGCTGCACCAGGTTCTCCACCGAGAGATTTAAGCGTTCATAGTGTTGAAGATCGACCAACTTCAGTTATTCTACGATGGCAACCACCGAAACAACCAAATGGCCCAATCACCGGTTAATATTTGATATTTAATTATTAATTTGATAAATCGTATAATCGAAGATATTACCAAAATATTTTTTTTATCAGGATACCTCATTTCTTATTCTACGGATTACAATAAATGGGATCGTGATTGGTTATTCGAAGGTGTTATTGGTGATAAGACAGAATCTATAATCAAAATGTTACAACCAAGTACAACATATTACTTCAAGATTAAGTCTCGTAATTCCAAAGGATATGGACCATTTTCGGCAACTGTTTCTTTTAAAACTCCACAAAGTAAGATTTTATATCCATTTGTTGGATCAAACGTTAGGTTGTTCGGATAGTTATTTGATTTTTTCTTTTTTTAAATAGAAAATAAGAGACGATTATTTCATATTTAAAATAAAAAATGTAATTCAGTTGAAACAAAATATGACGAAAATGTTGTCTTTGATTTTCTATTTTTTGATGCGATCCTTTAAAAAAAAAACTACTTGAAAGATCAAACCCGAAAAACAAAATTACTTTCCGAACAACCCAAAATCATTTAATGTATTGTTAAGCATAAATCTAATCAGTGATATATGATTAACTGAGAAATGGTCTTGAACATAAGTATTTATATGTCGTATTTAAGGTGATATTTAATTATTACCTTACACTTATTTTTTTTTCGATTGGTTTATAAATGTTATTATTATTTATTTATTTATTTTTGTATTAGTATGTCATGTTGTTCGTACAAAGGCAATGCATTACTTATGGTGTTTTAAATTTGTTCCGTGCTAGGCAATGGCATTCATATCTATGATGAATTGCATGTTCGAGGTAAGATATTGTAATCACTTTAAAAAAAAATCTCGTAAAAAGCTTCCTTTGCTCATTTTTTCTTGATGTTGCATGTTATTTGAATGTGATTTTTGATTGATACCGTTAATTTTTTATTATTTCATTTTAATAAATAGAAATATATCGTGGAATAAATATCACACAAATTTATATTAATTTAAGTTAACGATGAAAAATTTACGCCTCTTATCGAAATTATTATTTATATTCTTTGGAAACATATTTATTTCCCCATGTAGAAAATTGATTATAAATCTAATATAAAATAAACGTATGAATATATAATTTTACAGATGGCCGTGGTCTATCCAATATACTGATCTACATTATAGTAGGTTGTTCAGTTGTTCTTATTACTGGCATAGCGGTCGTCGTTGTTGTAATGTGCTGTAAACGAAATCCGGATTCACCGGATCGGAAAAAAGGGTAACATTCATTGTCATTAATTATTATTAATTATTTTTTAATCATGCTATAACGCTGAGAATAATAACTAATCGTTATATTTATCGTATACAGATACATGAAAGATGTGAATCCAAAAACCAATATTAAACCACCAGATTTATGGATTCATCATGATCAAATGGAACTAAAAGCTCTTGAAAAATCCTCTATCAATGGCGAGGCATCTACCAGCGGTGTTACTAGTAATACCTTGCCAAGATCAGGAAATCAAGAATATACTCAAGATAATGTGCACGGAAATTCCAGTTCGTTGGACAAGCGCACATATGTACCCAGTTATATGGGTGAGTTTTAGATTGAATCGAGAATATATAGAACATTGCAACAGGTTGTAGCACACTGTCCAAACAAATATATTTTACGAGGAACGAACTATGTGTTCTTTAAATTACATATATATTGGACGGATATACAATATGATTTTCACATAGAAAAATACGCGATTTTGTATACATTTTTTTGGTTTTATTAAGAACATATATCTTTGTTTATTTGTTTTATTTTAAAGTTAACACACAGTATGTTTGTTTTTTATCGTTATTCTGATTTTGCCATTTGGTTTTGTTTCATTTAATCGATGTTAGGTAACACTGACGAGAAGTGCTCTACCCTGAGCAGACAGCACAGTCGGGGAAGCCACAAACCTAAACTCATAACACTTCCTGTCGACAGTGCACCCGTACATCAGCGTAAGTAGCTTCTCAGCTACACCTCTACATACATCTCCATGAGAATTTTTTTAGAACATTTGAAACTTACCCCTTTTCTAATGTCATATTTCGTTTTTACCAACATGTCCTCTTCGTTTATCTTATTATGGACAGTGATCCTCTAATTTTTTCCAGCTATAGCAACTGCAACGCCAATCGTCAATAGCAGTTTGTCACAACCAACAATACACAGTACGTGTACGGATGCTCCGTCTGTGAGACAAAATTATCCACGTACCGTGGCACAATACAGTTTAAGTCGAGCGCACATCACGTTAGAACCAACACCGGAATCTAGTCCAGATTCTTGTAACCTGCCAAGTTCATACGAACCTCTACAAAGTCAAGTAAGAGAAGTTCCCATTAAGAAAATTTCATATTTTTAGAATAATTATTTACTATATTATGCAATGAGAAATATTTGTTTAGTTACCATATAGCCAAAGTGGACAGTCATACAGTGGAAGTAGTCAGTATGCTTCCAGTCACTATGGTAGTGGTAGCCAACCTACTAGTAGTGCTACAGCGTTAGATAGTAGTACTAGTAAAAGACTTCAAGGACATCCTTTGAAAAGCTTTAGTGTACCAGCACCTCCTCCACAATCTGCACCTTCTACCCCAGCACAGCAGAAACACGGAGGTTGGTTTCAGCATAAAATAATATTTAATCTTTATCTATAAATTTTTTTCTTTTTTTTTTTTAAACATATTTTATCATCATGTGTAGTGTCGCAAGTAACGGTAAGACCAACGATGTCTGGTAGTCCATACAAAAAACCTCAAGGCTCTACGTCACAATTAGCAAAGAACCGATTAGCTTCGGTTTCGAATCCAACACATACTTCAGAAGAAGTAGAACGATTGAAGGTAAAATTAAAAATAATCATTTAATTGTATTCAACAATATCACTAGATATTTATTGCATATATTTATTTTATTTATTTATTTATTTTTGTTTCTTAATTTTTTACTTTTACAGCCTTCGTATAGCACAGAAGAATTGAATCAAGAGATGGCCAATTTAGAGGGTCTAATGAAAGATCTAAACGCGATAACAGCATCTGAATTTGAATGCTAAATAATAGCAGGTTCCTAAATTTTGTGTGCCATCCAAATTGGATAAACAGTATGTGACAACGCATTATCAATGTTAGTACTCGAGAGGTCAATTTACAATGATGATTGCGTTACGTTGTGACTTTATATCGGAGGTTTCTCTTGTGTATTTAATTTATTTTTATTTTACTTTTTTTTTTTTTTTTTTTAAATAATTTCCTTAGTATGCACATACATACATGCATACATGTATAATTGACGAACGTCGATGAACGACGTGAATAACAGTTGCTTAATTGGGCAATTAATATGCTTATCCCACACAATGATAAGTTATATATATGAATTATTAAATAATTATTTTCCTAGTCGACAATTTTTGTTGTCTCTCCTGTACTAGCATTGTTTTATTTTTTTTTTTTGTTTGTTCATTTTTTCTCCCCTATTTTTTTTTTTTTTTTTTGAGTGAAACTCGAAGTTCGTACTTGCCAATGTATTCCAACACTGTCGTGCAGTGCATTTATTAAGGACGTAAGCATTTCAGTGTTGTGTGTTATAATATTAAAGTGCCCACGTGAAAATCTACGAACGATTCATTGAATTCGAGGGAGGGGGGGTAGGGTAGGGGGGGGGTTGGTAACCTTTAGAGAATTCTATCTCGTGCTCATGCGGATAAGGACGTAGCATATATATAGTAATATAAATAATTAGAACCTTATTACCGTGTAAGGGTTCTTATTTGTTTATAAGACATATGAAAGTTAAAGTACAATAATTCAATTGAATCGTATGGTGGGATAAAGAGAAACGAGAGGTATAGGCGTTCAAATTCAAATTGATCTAAATATTTAGATTGATTATCTTTTTTGTAATGTTTCAATACAAACAATGGTCTTACTTGAAAGTGAAATGAAATGAAATGAAAAGAAAAAAAAAAGAAAAAGATAAAAGAGAAAAGAAAGGAAAAACATAAACGCTATAATTTAACAGACATCATTTTTGTCATAATTTGTTTGTTTGTTTGTAATAATTATTAAATAGCCGTAAACTCTCATTCTTGCAACGACACGGTACGCATAAATGCGCGGATCTTTCGGATCGTATAAATTAAATAATTAACAAAGTGTTAAATGAAAATGAAAATATTTTTTCATTTTGCTATCCTACTGCCTGATCCCGCTCGCATTTGCTAAAATTTACATACCGTTTTTTACTCGATCGTCGTAGTTACCACGCATGTTTTTTGCGTGCTGCGGTAGAAAATGCACAAAAAAAGAAAAAAAAAAGAAATAAAGAAAGAAAGTTCGTATTATCTAAGCTCAGACTTTAAGATTATAATTGAGCTGGCGATTGTAAAAGTGTTCTAAGTTATTAGAGATATTAATAAATATTTTTTTTCTCTCTCCACGCGTCGTTCTTCAAATTTTGGTGTAATTAAGAATAAATATACATTTATTATGTTTATTATATACTTTTTAATGTTTGTCATAATAAACAAACAATTATGTAATAATTTACAATGAATCATTTTGATTAAATATGAAAGATCTTATGACTTACAAAACTTTCATAATCATTCTGGCTCAAACATTGTATAAATACTTGCGTAATCTCTCCCATTGATAATCATTGATTTATGCATTTTGTAAAAATGGCATACATATAGCATACATTTGAAACTCCTTATTCATGATCTCAACAACTTCATACTCGATATAAATGGCAGCTCATTATAGATTTTTACTTGCATTTAACCGTTTTGAGTGTCACATGGGCCTTTACGAAAATCCGATGGGAAAAATGTTAAATAATTCGATAACATTTTGTTATATTAGAAGAAAATATGTACACCGAAAGTGCAATTATTTTCGATTACACAGTCTGATGCACTGGCATTTTTAGACATTGAATAGAAGAAACGTGACCTTGTGGTGCAGCCTGATGCTCAAACGGTTAAAAACAAAAATGTTATGTATGTTCTTTTTCACGTCGCATTCGTTAGATAATAGAAAAGAAGAATTTAATATCGCGATCTCATTGGGGGATAAGTTATTTTAGAATTATAATATCCATAGGCTATAAGAGAACATAAATGATTTTCACGAGATCAAATATATATATAAATATATATATTGTCAAGTTTATGTATGATGGTTTAATCTCTTGTTTAAATCAGATGATGTAATTTCTCTTCTTCTAATCAATCAGTGAACAAAAATTCAATAAGTTTTCTTTCTTTTTTCAATTTTCTTTTTTATGGGATGACCTCATCCTAAAGTATTAACACAACAGAATTGTTATTGAAAATAATATAAGAATTCGATGTACTTTGTTCCAGAGATTTATTGATAATATAAAAACGAGAGATGATACGCGCGCTAATTGATAGTCAAAATTCTTTTTATCTTTTTTTTTCTTCCTTTTTTTTTTTGTCACATCCTATTTTTCATTTTTATTTTCTATTACGTATTTTCTCATATCCATAATAAGGCTCTCATATAATATTTATCAAATTTTAATCTATGTCGAGAGAATCGTTGAGATACATTTTTCAATATAAAATAAAAAATAGATCTTCAGAGATTTATTCATACATATTCTTTAAGATACATAAGGATATTGATCATCATTAATCATCCCCCTTCACTTCCAATGACTAAGGATTTGCTTGATAAGAAACATTTGCGTAAAATAATGTCGAGTCTACAATTTTTGAAAGGAAGCAAAAAAGAAGAAATTTTAGAGAGTGCAGGGTAGTAAAATAATAATAATAACAATAACAATAATAATAATAATAATAATCAATAATATTAATAATAATAATAATAATAATAATGATAATAAATAATAACGAACTCATAATGCAGCGAAATAAAGACGCTTTTAGGAATTTCGAATTTATCTACGTCCAACTTTTGTATGCACTTTTGTATTTTCTTAAATACACACGAGAGAAGAGAAAAATATTGTACAAAAAAAAAATGAAAGAAAGAAAGAAAGAAAATAGAACAAAAAGAAATGAAAGAAAGGAAGAAATGATGGCGCTTACGAAAATATTCCCGATATAGGATAACGAAAAGAAAGATATGAGACAGAAAAATGAAGAAGTTTCAATAAACACAAAATATTTAATCCCTTGAAAGTTATACGCAGCTAAAAGGAGACAACTCTTTTAAGAGACTTGTAATTTAACTTATCGTATATACGTGCGATCGTAAAGAAAAAGAAAAAAAAAAACAAAACAATGACAATTTTGCCGCCTAATTGTAAGTACATAAGCATCAATATTACTTAATTAAAAGGAAGTATTTACTGTCACGTATGCGATATTAATTAATTATTGCCACTATTTGCAAATTTGCAAATTATATTTCAAACTAATATATTTTCAATTTAAGTTTACTATGTTCGATCATAATTAGCTCGCCTTAATATTATATATACATATATATGTGTATATATATATATATATATATATATATATATATATATATGTTACATATAGCATACATTTGAAACTCCTTATTCCATGATCTCAAAACTTCATAATCAATATAAATGGCAGCTCATAGATTTTCACCGTTGCATTTAACCGTTTTGAGTATCATGTTATTTTTTACGTATATATATATATATGTGTGTGTAAATAAAAGAAAATCAATAACAACGTGAAAAAAATAGGCAAAAAATTCGATCGTAAAGGTTTCACATTTTCAAAGATATTTCTACCATGAAGGACGGATTATATATTTATCTCTATGTATACGTATATATATATATATATATTTCTTTTCTTTTTTTTTAAGTTTCCACGAGCGTGACTAATGTCTCATTTTTTTTCCAATAGATTTTGAAATTGTTTGAAGATAGAGCGATTAAAAGTGCTTTTACGGTCGATAACGAGCGAAATGTGCGTAAGCTATATATCGATAAAGAGAATGACTTGTACATTAAGTATACATACATGTATACATACGTATTTACATATACAACATGCATACATATATATATATATATATATATAAATATTATATATGAAAATTGTAACTATTG